CACGCCTTTGGGAGGACATAAAGCAGAGCAATTTTAACTTACATTCTCTGCAGCACCGGTATTGTCGGGATCCACAGCGGTCTCCTCGTCACTGTTCGTTAACACGAAAATTGAGTTAGTCATCTGCAATCATGCTGTGTTTTATATTCATATGTGATTGCAGTGAATGAGAATCAATCTGATGTGTTATTCATAGTGCAGTCAACCTCTTGTTATCCTTGTTGGTGGAAGCATGTTTGTTGGCCTCAGATGGTTCTTCAGTTTCACTATCTCCTGAAGAAGGAGCAAAAGTGTGCATGAGAATAAAACAATGAAAGTTCCCTCAACCACAACTTACAAATGTATAAAAAAATCACAACCAAAGGCAATAAATTATTAAAGATACTTTTGTTCGTCTAGGGTGCATTTTGGTACACCGAACATGCACGACATAATAGAACAAAATAGGGATCACTGTTCCACATTTGACATGATTTTAATGTGGAACAAGCGCATGGAACAAGGTGGAACAAGCCTATATTTTACCAATATACACTCAAAATACAAAACCTAGTTCTCTTCCGAAACATCAAACACGTCTCTCTTTACATTTTATCTATTTTTTAAATTTTGTTTATTGTATTTTATCCTCTTTAAACTCACTTTAGTGTCCTCAAAATATTGTTTTTAAACGATTTTTATATATTTTGGTCCATTTTATCCTCTTGAAAGAAACTTTCTAATGATATATTTTGTTATATAAAAATATTTATTATATTATAATTTAATAAATTACATAAATTAATCAAAATATAGAAAAGATATAAACAACTCATTAAGGGTAAATCGGTCATTTTACCATTCATGTCTTGTTTTACCTAACACTGAACAACTGTCGTGTCCCTTTCTGTTCTGTTCTACTCTGTCAGGATACCAAATGCACCACTAGTCTTTTTTTTTGTTTTATTTTTTCTTGTGTGCGACTTAAGCAGGGAATGCCACTGTTTTGTTGGTATTAATTGTAAAAGATGGCACATATTAATCATGTCTGACCTACGTAACTCTAATCGATCATTACCATCATCACTTGAATCTTGACCATCTTTAGCAGCTGTTGATCTCTTATCAATCACAACATACGCCCCATGTCCTGCGTATCAACTACTTCATCAGTCTGCCATTGAATTGAACTTTTTTCCAGCCCCCACACGGGGGCGGGGGACGGCCAGCCCCCACATGAGGGCGGGGGACGGGTTTTAAGATTCATACCTGGTTTACGCTTTCTTCTGGAGTTTGATCTTGCAAGTTCAATATGCAGAGTAGATCCAGTTTGAGGGTCAAACTTAACACCCTGGAAATTATTGGCGTCAGTATGAACTATAGATGTAAATATAGTAAGGGCCTGTTTCTTAGCAGCTTAATGAGCTTAATGAAACTCACAGCTTATTCTGTCAGCTATATGGGACTGTTTGGTAGTGGCATAATGGCATAGAAAGTGGCTTATTCAGTAAGCTTCTACGGAGATCTTTATGCAGAAAGTCAAGTTTTTACCAAACCTGTCCCTCCTAATTAAAAAAACACGCTCCTTCCATCTATGAAAAACTATCTCATACAAAAACATTTCCAATCTATGCTGACAAATTAAACTACAGACAACTTTATCCATAGAGGATTTGATAGAAACCAACCAAACAGTTCCTAAATCGTCAATCTACAAGACCATTTGCATGATCAACTCATTGCACCCTCGTTTAAATCAGCACTTCAAGAATCAAAATTTCACATAAAAGCCTCCATGATTGATCCTTCATCCCTAGAACAACGGGTAATTAATTAGATGGATTTCCCATGTCAATGTCATCGCCAACGACAAACTCCCCCATACACACATACAACAAGGATGGAACTCAGGGCCTGCTTGTTAACAGCTGAATGAGCTTAATGGGGCTCACAGCTTATTCGGTTAGCTATACGTAACTGTTTAGTAGTGGCTTAATGATATAGAAAGTGGCTTATTCGTTAAGCTTATAGGGGGAGCTTCCAAGTTTTCTCCAAACCTGCCCCTCCCAATTTATACAGAAAAATAAATCCACATAGTCAGCTTTATCTATATCTTAGCAACTAGAAAGGAGCATCAAGTTCTATAACATCATACTCGAACTATGATTTTAAGAAATTAGGTCATGAATGTTGAAGTGTAGTCACTAGTTAGTTATATAGTTGAACCTAATAACCATCAACCTTGCTCTAAAAAAGAACAATCTCCATTACTGACTGACTTTTCTTAATAATAATTCAAGATTTCAACATAAATATACACAAAATATGAACGCATATTTAAGAAATGACAAAAATATATGAAGCATACAGGTTTTTGATGCAAAATAACTAACTAAACATCATCAATTCCTTACATTCAAAGCGTGAAGGCAAGCGATTGCTGACGGATGGTTTACAAAAGTTGCAAATGCAACAACCTGCACAGTGACAACACGAAATGAATCACCAAACGGATATAATTACAGTTAACCATTTTCTACAAAATTAGTCGATAATAAGACCTGATTTCCACGGCCGGTGTACTTGAGTTGGCAATAATCAAAACCAGGCCGACGGCGGAATAGATTATGGATCTCACGGGCCTTGATGTCGTCAGGTAGACCAGAAACGAAGAGTGTGTTAATGGCGTTGGGATCATCGTAGCCGGCATACTCAAGTGGAGGAATGGACGGAAGGTTGTAGTATACTGGATCGTACGGGTGTGGTATCGCCATTGTCGGAGCCGGAAAAACCTGTAAAATCGCTTTGCCTGTGACGACAAACCCTAGACTCTGAGGAACTCGATGAAACCGGAGAATATGCGACTATTCTTCCCTCTCTTTGTAAACTATAAAAAGACCCCCTGATTTATGTATAAATAACAAAATAGTCCTCGTACTATTACAAGTTATATATTTGTTCTATTTGGTACGCTTTATTAGGGATGGTGATTTGCCCCGTCTCGGTGGGGAACCCGGTTCACCCGACCCGAATGGGGATGGGGATTCCCCGTTAAAACGGATCACGGGGCCGGGGTGTGTTACTCAAACCGAGGCGGGAGCCGGGGATCCCCGGTAGAATCAAATTAATGGATATTATTCACGGGTTTTGACCGGTGATTGATAAAGGTTTGACCGTGGACATAATGTTAATCCCCGCACTCGTCGGGGTCGGGCGATGTTACTACAAACCGGGGTCGGGTATTACAAAACCCGCGCCCATCCCCCTTCTCATGCCTACACTTTATGTGAGAGTTGGATTATGTTGAGAAGGAAAGAAAAATGATCTCCACCTTTGAATCAATCATAATTGAAAAGAACAACTGGATCAACACTAATGAAATACACTAGATCAATTCCCTTCTAAAATGCAATTAATAGGTTGTTTTTGTGATTAAAAGTGATAAATGGTTCAAATATCTTCATACAGTTATCACCTTAACTCTTATTCTCACATTACCCTTTATGTGAATGTGTTATGTTTATTTCCTAAACGTAACAAATTTGCTTTTGTATTTACTTAGAGTAAATTCGGTTCATCTTGTTTCTCGTAAATAAAACTTTTCGACTCTGTAGTTTTGAAATTACAAAATGATATTTGTGGTTTGCAAAAAGGTTCAGGTTTGGTTTGGACATGAGAATGAAAATGACATGGAACAAGAATGAGTATTCATTCCCTCCAGTTTAACCTGGAATGAATATTTGAGTTTGTTGGGAATGAGCTCATTGTATTAAATAAAAGCAAACAGTTTCTTTTATCCAAATCCCGTAAATAACTGTTTAATATCTCTAAACAAAATCTTTAAAATTTTCGATTTTAACATATCAGTTAGATTCTCTATACAATTAACCCTAAGACATCCTTCATGAAATTTACAAAAACAGTCAATCTGTCAAAAAAATTAGACCTCACTTTACTTTGTAGCCATTCCTCATGAAGAAGGCTTACAAATATACGTAAGGATTGGTTCTCGATAAAAATAAATGAAGAAAGTGGAATCCTCACACGGAAAGGGGAGTACTCACAAGGAAAGTGAATTTTCACGCAAAATATGGAATCTTTAATGCAGAAAGTGGAATTCTACATAAAAACTGACTAAAAAATGAATTGAGTTCTATAAATAAATGTAAAATAAAAAAAGGAGCTTGAAAGACAGGGTCGTTTTTGAGGGCTTACGCACAGGACCCACAAGAAACAGGGGCCCATATATTTTTTTTATATATTATATAGTATATAGTAGTAGTTCAAAAAAATCAATAAACAAAATAGACACATTTTTTTTATATGGAGGTGGGAGACCCCTCGCATCAAGTAAAAAAACCAAAAACACTGGAACAAAAGACGCGCTCGGGGTGGGGCAAACCACATCCACCATAATAGGACCAAGGCACCCCAAGTGACTTTGTTTAGAAAACATTTATGTATCCTCTGTCATTCATCTCCAGTGACTTTTGATTATTCCATACAGATGAATATTATTTTACGTTACAATATAGTAGATTTCTTGTTATTAAATACGAAAACTCCAATCTTTTGAAAAAAGTTATCAATCATATGAGACGATCCAACTTATGTCTATATTTACGATTTCGAAACTATCATATTTTTTCATACATTATTGACTATTTGTTACCTAATATTAGGTGCATGGATTTTATGTACTCTCCAATAATAAGTTTGTTTTAACTCTAAAACTCTGAAATGGTGATAAAAAAACATTAACGTAATTTGACATGGAAACCCAAATGATTTATATTGATTTACATTAAGTGTTACTCTGAATAGTCAACATGATGGCGGATGACTCAAATGATGTCAATCTATATAATAAAGATATATATCATAGGATGTAGTTGGGTGTGGACTGAATTTATGATGCTATATAAAAATGATATGATATATAATATTAATTTAAAGTAATTATTGATTGATTTTGTCTACGAATACTCGGAAAAAATGTTTTATATGAATTATTATTATTTTTTGAATTCAATGTTATTGCTGATGATGAAAATAGTAATTGAACTTTCTTTCATACTTATCGAATGTCCCTTTTTAATTCTCGCTCAGGATCTATAAAATGTCAGGAACGGATCTGTTGAAATATTTGATTTCTTCCATAAATTTCTGACATCCATCCTGCACAATAATTTTTGGGGAGGCTAATTGCACCCCTATGATGGACTAAGGGCGCCCCTAACCCTATTCAATCATTTTCTTTTCTTATTTAAAATAATTTAAATTATTAATTTTTTTTTTTTTTTTTACAAAACCTTGGAAGAGCTCTCTCAACTATCCTAACAAGGATTGGGCGATGAACATCCAATCCGCCCAAGGCCTGAGAGATCCAATCCACTCAAGGCTTGAGAAATTAGAGGGTATCCGGACAAGACTTGGGCGATGAGATGAGACTTAACTCCACCCAAGGTATGAGAGATAATGTTTAAGGGTACAAGCTTGAACGATGAGCTTGTTCATTGTTCAAAACCTTGGGCGATGAGTGTGTTTCATCGACCAAAGATTTGGACGATAAATCCTCTCATCGGGCAAAGCGTCGGCGATGAACGTGTCTTATTGGTGTAATATATATATATATATATATAT